GGGATCTTTCCTACATCCCATTAATAATATCCGCATGCATACAAAATAACTTTGTATAGTCTGATCGAGACGACGATAATAGGATTCCAGACAAACTTGGACGGAGGATCGGACCGAGGAAAGTCGACAGCTTCAGCCTCCTTTTACCCTCATGTTTTATTTTCCCGCCATTTTATCTCGCTTTGCCCCAATTGTATCATTCAATAAGTTAACTTCCCCTCCTGCTCCCGGCGTTTTGATCTCCACTTACTTAATTGCAAATAAATCTGACCAAGGCCTGCAGCCATCCGGTCCCTGCAACATGACCACGCACGTATTGCGACGCGAAATGATAAAATACCGCATCGCCTCTGATTTGCACTAAAAATTCCCGTCTTCTCCACTAGTCGCTTGCTGAGCAATGTTCAGGAGACCTGAAGTTTATAGCTTATCTTGTGTTTGCCATGTATGCATGATATCCTTCACCCTCGTCTTTCTTTGGATTAACTATCTTTCACAAACTATCCACTTTAATTATTTTGTATCCTAGTGCAGGATGCATCGGTTGCCGACTCGGCTCACTGGCGGATGGCCCAGCTGAAAGTTATTTTTGAGACTGCGTAATTCTTAAACAAAAGCCTAGGTTACTTAGGATTCCTTAAAGACCGCTTCTTATAGCAAATATAATTTTGCTTCATCCACAATCCTACCACAGAATGTGATATGGGAAAATACCTCATCTTTCCTGTCACCCAAGGGCACTCTCGGCAATGTGGCGTAATGATTAACTTGTCGAGATCATACAATACACTGCCCCAACCCGGGTTCGAGTCGGGCTGGGGGTGCTGATGAGACCAGTTCTGGCGAGGTAGAAGTTGCACTCCATTCCCGTCTGGATGAGAATAGCTTTTGGGAAAGTAGAGCTGTGTGGAATTCAATGAAAACTTAGGGTCCAATCACATGATTGCGGAAGAATTCGACTACCCACTCCTTTATCACCTTAAACGAAATAGGGTGATTGCATCTCATATAATTGTTTTACTGGTGGTCTCGAAAATCTACTTATGAAGGAAAAACGAAAGATTGATGATTGAATTCGTTGCGAAACAAAATGAGTAGGAAAGTTTGTCTCATCCCCGACAGCTGCAGTTCCTAACTCATCTCGTCAGCAGCCCCAGCGGGACTTGAACCCGGATTGCAATAATGCAACCCATCCTCTCGAAACGTTGGTCATTGCACCACACTGTCACGAGTGCCCTTGGGACACAGGGCATATGTGAATATCAAAGAAGGCCAGGCCCTTTCCCATGACACATTCTGCGGTAGGATTTTCGATGA